TCCTCAGCCCTGAAATATTTTACCAGTTTCCATTGATAAAAACATATTTAAGATTCACAGCTAATATCCACAAGATCTTCCAGCCAAATTGCATGGTCAGGCAGAAAGTATTAACACCATCTCCAAGGAGTCTTCCCTCGAGCAATTCCTCTTTTAAATCCTCTCATCCCTAAAGGATCTACTTTGTCACACCACTCCAGACCACCATTTTCTCCTTCATTAAGCTCTGATAGCAATTAAACATTGTACTGCTAATTTTGACAGCCAATGCACCTTATTTGACATTGGCAGGTTTTCTGAAGCCTTGTCTCACAGATTAATCTCTCAGCAAGCAAGAACCATGTCTTTGACTTCCATTTTCGTTCCTGCCTCAGGTTTCCATTTCATTGGTATCTAGCGCCGTCTGGCGACACACTCCAGCATTACAACATTGCATAATTGTAAAAGTAAAGAGAAAGGGGGAGAGGGAAAGAGAGATGGAAGAAGGGAAGAAAGAATGGGGCAGAGAGAGAATGAGAGAGAGAAATTGAACCTAAAAAGTGGGAATCCTTCTCCTTTTCATTCGGTTGTTCACCAGGTCTTATAATGTATTCTATGGTCATCATTTTTATTTTCTCACACCCTACTTTAGTACTTTATCTTTTGACACCTGGACTGTTTAATAGCTTTCTAAATATTTTCTGTCTCTGCCTCTTTCTGCTAATCCTACCTAAATTAATGCATGCCATCTTTTGGCTAAAAATCTTTCAAGACCCAAATCAAGATTACTATATTTTTTCATAGTCTTACTACACCTTTCACTCTAAAGGTCTTTTTCTCCTGTAAAACTATTTTCTTGTTTTTTTTTACATTGTATTCCGAAATTAAATATGATATAACTCTTATATTTTCCCACATATTATATTTTTAACGACAAACACTTTTTACTTTTCTCAGTAATCAGACTATCTTCTTCTCATGTAATATACATTCTTTAAATATTTGTGGATTTGATGTGTTAACTTGAGAATAAAATAAATATTTGACCTTGTGTAAAAGATAAAATACATCTTTTGACTGTGGTAGGCAAATAAATTCAAAGGTTTATTCGCAAAGGTAACTGTGATTTATCTAGAGCAATCTTTAGTTTGGGCAAGCAACATGACATCAGGTCTTGTGGATTGGGGTTATGAGAAGAGGAAGTCTATTTTTGTTGAGAGAGAAAATTTTGCTACGTAACTGTATTTAGGGACAAATCAGAGATTAATGATGCATTATATTCTAGAGCTTTAACTGATAAGCACCAAGAAATGGCTTTCTGAACTTTAAACAGCTTGCAAAATATTATTTCTGTACCTTGCTTCATGCACAGAAAATAATGGAAACTAGGTCTACTGTTCAGAAAATTCAATATTTATTCTAAAATGTGAGTTGTTTAGTTTTAGGAATATTTCATATACTGCAAAAGAGCACAAAATCTACCTTTACTAATTAGTTTCTCTATGAAAGCCTTCCAGATAATTACAGGATAATAGGATCGGTCAATGCTTTAGGCGCTTTTCATTAAAGGTATAGTGTTGCTACCAGATGAATTGCTTCATATAAAAGCACTTACCACAAAGCCCTATAATGGAAAGTTAAGTGCTATACTTAATTACTAATTTCAGTCCTTATTACCAATATCTCACAAGGCAAGAACTTTAAAAGGAACCAAATATAATCTGTTGGTTCCTGCTTCTCTGATTATAGGATTTGGTGGTAAAAGCATTAGTCTAGCTGCTTTTCTAATGAATAAAAACCAAAAAATATATATTTGAATAAAAATAGCAATAGTATAACCTGATATAAAAGACATATATTAGGTCTTGCTATTGAAATAATATTTAAAATTGCTTTGCTCTAAAACCTTTAATTTAGATGACATGTATTTTTAAATTCGTATTCAGCCTTTACGGCATGGTTGCAGATGAAGCTCCAAGAGAAAAAGGTATTTAAAATTTTCATGGCTTATTTCCTACCTCAGCATCATGCTGAAATACACACAAAGCAGATGATTAATAAAATATTCAGTGACAACAATGGTGACTCCCCTGAGTTCCTTACCTATTGATTATTAACTTTTTATATGTATATATCCAAATTCCTCATCTGTGCTGTAATTTTCTTAAGGGAAGACTCTGTTTTACCCTTGCTTATATCCTTCAAAATGATTGCAACTTTGCTCACTCTTGATTTATTAATGTTATCTAAAAAACTTTTTCATGAAAGGGCACTTAGAATGTATAACTAAATATTAAAATTTGTATCTAAAACAACTATTTCTAAAGAGTTTTTTCCTTTGTTATAATGATACTGCTGGCTTCTGATATTTAAATACATTTTATGTTGTGTTTCTTATTCTGAGCATCTGTTTAATTGGTAAATAAGACATTGCATGTGTTAAACAAATATTAAACTAGAAAAAAAATATTTTTCAAACAATTAATTAATACCACCCCAGTCTCAGCTACCAGTATTTAAATTGGACATTAGCCTGCCACAAGAAGAGAGGGACCATATCTTTTTTGAACTATACCCAGTACATGATATCTGGTAGGTGCATAATTAAAAGACTATTAATCACATTAAATACAGTAAAGTGCGGGATATGGAAATTATTAAAAACATTAAGTGTTTACCAAAGTGAATTGATGCATTAGAAAACTAGATTTTGATCATCTATGCTTGGGAACTGTATTTGATTTCATTATGCAAAGAAATGCATTTTATTTCATTATGCATGAAGGTGCATTATGCAAATTAACAAAATTAAGTCCAAATACAAATATTTTTAACTCAGTTTAACCAAGAATTTCTCAAACTATATTCAGCATGGGACCTCCCTTCTCCCCCCTTAGGTGACCAACAACCTCTATAACAGAGTTCTAGTATCCTTAGATACCTGTTTGGAAAGTGCTGATAAGAGTAAAAAATTACTAAATAAAGATAATTTTTAAAAATTAAGTTGACGGGCCGGCCCGGTGGCGCACTGGAGAGTGCGCCGCTTGGGAGCGCGGTGGCGCTCCCGCGGAGGGTTCGGATCCCATGTGGAGACCGGTTCTTGCTCACTGGCTGAGCGCGGTGCGGGCACAACACTAGGGTTGCGATCCCGTTGCCGGTCCCCGGTATGGGCGCGACACCGAGGGTTTCGATCCCGTTACCGGTCAGTAAAAAAAGACAAAAAGGAAAAAAAAAAAAATTAAGTTGAAACAAAGCTGGGCTTTCAGAGGCAACTGCCACACTGCAATAGAAACAGGATTTATCAATTTATATGTTTAGGTCCACTATTCACAGATGACAACATCTCATGGGCAAAGCTTAGACCTCACCCTGCTTTATATCTTTCATGGCATCCAGTGTAATGGCTTTCTATCAGAAAATAGGTATTGATCAATCCATATCTTAGGAAAATTACCAATATCCTTTTCATAATATCACTGAGACTGCAGTTATTATTTTTAAAAATTACATTTACATTAGGATTTCAGTGAATGAAATAAGGAATTAGCAGGGGCTATATAACATTGCATGCACATTTAAAATACTTTCCATCTAGATCTTCTATTCCTTCATCTTAGTATAGATGGTAACTGAAGGACTATGTTCATATAATTGTAGTATAAAATTGTGAAAATTCCTAGTACAGCAATTCAGCAAATATTTATTGAGTGCCTACTATTTGCTGGTATTATAATAGACACTGGACATATTGTTAATTTGCTTGCTTCTGAATTTTGTCACAGGCTAGTTTTTTTAATTATTATTACATTTAATTCATCAAACATTTGCAGAGCACTAGGCTTGCGGAATAGGTTTAAACTGGGGCTTGAAGATGTAGAATTTTATAAATCAGAAAAGGTTCAGAAGGGCACCAAAAACATTTCATTTCATAATTGTGAGTCTGTACTAGGGAATATTCATATTTATTTAACAAATTAGTTATTTCATCAAATTATTTCTTCCAAGAAAGAAATAATTCTAATAAAGAAGTTTATATATACATTTTGGTTATCATTTTTATTGTGCAAAATGAAAATTATTTTTATGCTTTTTCTTTATACTCATAAATTGAGTACTATACAAAAAACTTACGTGTGTCTAAAAGGGAAACACAGAGAAACGAGACTTATGCTTTTAGTAATGTATTTTGTACTAAAATAGAGAGAGGATAATGATTGCAGTAAAATGCCTTTATACTTTTAACTTGTATTTCACTTAAAATTAACATTTGTTTTTTAATTCAGATTGTATGCAACCACAAGTAACAAACGTTTAAATTTCTAATTTACCATATTTGTTTCAATAACATGGTACCGATAAAGCTAATGGACAAGATAATTTTTATTTTATCAATAATGAATTGACATTCATTTTATAGATTTCACGTGAGTAATACTAGTGTCAGAGACTCCTTGTAAAATTCCATGGTTGTATGAAAGTGAAAACAAATTTCTTTCACATACATGTTTTAATAACTGCGGATTTACTATAGTATTGCTCCTTTACTATTTCTCTGGTCATCTCATGGCCTGCCTGCATCTTTCATGAGTTGCAGCTGTGCACCACCACCAAAGGAACTGTCCAGTCTTATTTCCTCTCAGAAAAAAAGTGTTATATATTCCTTCCCTTATTTTTAAACTTTAACTTTGTTACTTTTGACAAAGCCTTTCCTTTGTTTAAATGCAAGGATCCATTAAAAAGAGCTTTGACATGTGCCTTTTATGTGTGCATTTTTCTGGTTTCACTGATGCCCTGAATTTTGCAAACGATAACGTGTGCCTTCAAGTTCTCCTATAAAATGCCATTTGTACACTGTAGCAAGAACAGTTTAGGACAGCATTACATTCACATGACTCTAAAGTCCAATAAATATTTGATGGTTTCTCAGAAAACCACAATTTGGTGAAACAGACGCAAAACAGTGCTCGTTTTCCAGTTCGATTTTCATAAAATCTTCCCCAGATACACATTCACTTGCTTACCTGCAGGGTAGCGCTCGATCACTGGCCAGCTGTCCACCTGTAATGTGGCATTGCCACCACTCCTTGTGAAACGGACTACATGGTATTTCCCATCATTAATGATTGCATTGGACTCTTCAATGGCGATGTCATCTGTCCCAACATTAAACTTAACTCCAATTTTTCCTTGGTGCTGGGAGGAGAAAAAAAAAATAGTTGTATTAAGTTGTACTGATTAGACAGCATTTAATAAGAATTACACACAAAATGTTTAAGAACATAGTTTGGACAACAGCTGCTTTTCTCCAATTTTACTTCTGAAAAACCACATGTAGTAGAAGCAAGGTTCTTGATACTTGGGTAAATCTGAGACATCTCTTTCATAGATAATTGATATTTGAAAAGACACTTTCAAGAATATTGAGCTGCCTTCCTCCCAGATATTGCCACAGAGAAGGTGCACAGCTGACTGCATGAAAGGACATCCTTTCATGTCCTTTAACATAGCTTCTTTAATGCACTCTCCCCATTTCAAAAGAAAAAATGAGGCTTAAAATTCTCACTTTTAGGAACTGGTAAAATCAGAGCAATGAAGTCTGTCTAGAGCTAATTGACAAAAGCTCACTATATAGAAATTCATTCTATGGTGCACATAGACAGGCATTTAATCAGTGAAGTTTCTTAGTCATTATTCACAAAATCATCAAATGCTAAGAGTCTGAACTTATTTCCATTTCTTTGTTTTACAGATGATGAGATTATGACAGGAAGGGACAATGACTTTTTCAAGTTCTCATAACTTAATATTGATGTACTAGAACTAAAATTCAGTTCCCCCATTGTTAGACTATAGCTAAGATAAGATGAAGCTAAGATACAGTTTTTTAAAATCAACTCTTTCTCTGAATCACGCAAAGCAGCATTACAAATCATTCTAAGTGTAAAGCTGTTGCTGTTTAACTTGAAAATTTCATAACGCAAGGTGCCAAAGAGAAACATGTGCTTACATATTGTGCCTCTGAGAAGCATTCTCTAACAGCAGCACTGGCAACTCTACCATGAGCTCACTTGACTTTTAAAGCATGTGAATTTGCCCTTAATCAGTAGTACAGAATACCTGTTGATGGAGTTTGGATGTGCTGCCCCCTCCAAAACTCATGTGGAAATCTGATCCCTAATGTAGCAGTGCTGGAAACTGATTGAGTCCTGAGAGTGGGTCACTCATGAATGGATTAATGCTCTCCCTGGGGGAGGGGGAATTAATGAGTGAGTTCCCGTGTGTGAGAGCTGGTTTTTTAAAAAGACCCTGGCACCTTTTCTCTCTCTCTTGTTTCCTCTCTCTTGCTTCTTCTCGCCATGTGATCTGCTTGTACCTGCTGGCTGCCTGCCACTTTCCACCATGAGTAGAAGCAGCCTGAGGCCCATGCCAGATGCAGCTGTCCCAGAATCGTAAGCCAAATAAACCTTTTTTCCTTTATAAATTACCCAGTTTCAGGTATTCTGTTACAGCAACACAAAACTGATTAAAATACCTGTGCTGCAGGCCTTTGTCAGAATGCATAACCTCTAACTGCCTGCAGCTCACCTTTATCAAACCTCAGTTGAGAGGAACGACATGGGAAAAGAGGAGTTTAAAGGACACATGTCCACCATTCCTCTGGAAATTTTAACTCAGCATATTAGAAACTGGAAGGTTTGGACAACATTCTCCTGACCCTTTGCTGGATACCCATTATTGAACTCGGTAGCAAGAGTATGGCATCAAATGACACTGAGAATTTTTATAAGAAAAACTTGTATAAAACTGCATTAATTGAAGAGAATTATTTAATGATGTTTGTAACATTGCTCATTATCCCCTACATGTAGACATCGTAAAGTTTTCTGTTTGGTTTGTTGTTTTTTCCTGGTTTTTATTGCCCATAAAGGATCTCTTTCTTTTTAGAAGTTGTATGGTTTAATATTTTTTGTTTTGATTTATTTTAGGTTTGATGGCTAATGTAACTTTTAAAAATCATATATTGACTCTACATGCATGTTTATTAAATAAAGATAACATACCTCTTAAATGAGATTCTTAAAAAAAAAAAAATTCCTGGGCCAAGCCCATGGAGCACTCAGGAGAGCGCGGCGCTGGGAGCGCAGCAGCGCTCCTACCGCGGGTTCGGATCCTATATAGGGATGACTGGTGCGCTCGCAGCGCTCACTGGCTGAGCGCGGTGCGGCCGGTCTCAAAAAGGACAAAAAGAAAAAAAAAAAAGAAAAAATTCCTGTGGAGTTACATCGAATGTAATATATATATATATATAT